TACTCTTTTCTGCACTTCATGTCTTGGCTGTAAATTCATTATTGTACAGTTTTTGCCTGAGTCTCCTGTGTTGCTGCAACACAACAGTTTCCACAGTGTAGGATCGATGACATTCGACCCTAAACCTTCAACCCTCATTGTTGTGAGGAGCATCAGAATCTGCCAACTTTTAGAAAGACACTATGACGAAGGATTTAAGATAAAGATGCAGACCCACTGGACAGCTCCTCCTCAAACAACTGATAAACGGATTAATTCATCCAAAATAAATGTAATGTCTCAAGTCCAATCTCCTCTGAACACAGAATCTCTTTAGTAAAACATAAATATTATAAGGAAAAAAATGATAAATAAAAATCAATGTAAAATACCCCAAAAATTTCAACTCTGTTGGTTTTCTTCTTTAACTATAAATTCTAAATAAAATCTTTAAAAACTGTTTAAAAAATGAATAACTCTAGCTGGTAAACAAACATTTAAATCTAAAAGAATGATATTTGAGAGAATTCATTATTCTCCCTGCAGTTCCTTCGTGTACCACTAGGGTTTTATACCTACTGAATGAAAAATATGCAATTTTGTTTTGCATTTTCCAATGCAAAATAACAAATTAGAAAGATTTTTTTAAAAAGTGTTTTCTTATTTGAACTCTTTTATATTAAAGTGTTAATGATGCATAACAAATATAATAAAAGATTAATACGTTTTTCTTTTGTTGTGAAGGCAATGAAACGATGAACATATCACGATACAAAACACGGATCATAAATTAATCGTCATTAACGGTTCTATCAGCGGTGTCTCTTTGCGCCCACTATGGGGCACCTGTTCCCCGTATTGTTTTTTGCACGGCCCTGGTGAAAGAGGCCAAGGTGAGTGACAGGGCAGGAAAAAAGATTAGTGTGAAACAGCTGCTTTTTATGAGCCGGGCTCCTCCCTCGTTTGTGTCGCCTTTTCCCAGTTTAAAAAAAAAAAAATCTGCGCTCTTTCAGACGTGGGACTCTTTCTCATCTAGATTGATTTACATTTATAACATTCATGGCGCACAAATCGGCGCTAAATGGCCGTGCGCGGGCGCAGCGGGGCGGGGTTCCCTCCCTATTAAAGGGGAATTAAAGGCGCTGAATTGGGGGAACGCATGGATTGGATTTGCTGATTTGCGCATTAACCTGGTGTCTTTATGTCGGAGCTGTTAAAAGCCGCGGCCGTGTCAGCGGTGGCACCTCATCCCGCCGAACTGCGCCATTGTAGCCGCATTCACGCCCCTCGTCTGTCCATTTAAAGCCAATCAATTTCGCGAGGATGATTGACAATTATTGCACAAAGAGCGAGCGGAATTGTTGTCATCTGACAGAGCCGCCGACGATGACGTCACGAACGAACGAGAGACTAGACACACAAAAAAAACACTGTCAAAGTCAGCACTGACCGACTTTAGTTCCGTTTGTTAAACATGGACTGTTTTAAAAAAAATAGGACCAGCAACAGATAGTCGTTATTATACATATATATATTAAAATATGTATATATATGAGCAAAAATGTCGTTTATTTCTGGGCGAAACTTTAGAGAAATTTCGTTTCAGCAAAGTAGGAGGGATTTTTTTTTTTTTTACTCATTCTGGTTGTTTACAAAAGCTCAACGGTCTCAACAGAACTGTTTTCTAACTGCTCTTAAAGGAGCTCCAGTCCTAAAAACAGTAAACAGCGCCACCAGGGGTTCTAAACTGATAGTAAAAATAATTAAAAAAACAAACAAATCTGATCCTAATTCTGGTCCTAACTCCAAACGAACCCAAATAATATTTTGGGTATATTATGTAGGAGGGATACCAAGTACACACACACACACACACACAAATGAGCCCCAAAACTTAGAGAACAGTCACAGGTGGTCCAGAATTTGTAAACACATAAACCCACAAACACAGCCAGTCCCAGTGGGGACCTGCTAAAATGTCCCCACGATGTCATCTTTCTAATTATGTCCTCATAAGTATAGTTACCAGGTATACACAAACATAGACACAAATGAACACCAAAACTGTAAAAACAGTGACATCATCATTGGTTGGTCCTGATGTGGTAACAAAATGAAAACACACACAAAGTTGTTGTTTTTTTTTTGGGGGGGGGGGCATTCAACATAAACACAATACACTTACCCTAAATCTAACAGACACAAATAATTACTTAATCCTTAATCTAATCCTAAACTAAATCTAAAACCCAAATGTACCTTACAACTCAGTGGGGACCAACATAATGTCCCCATCAGGAAAAGTGTCCCCACAAAAATAAATTATCCCCTCAAGTATACTTTACCAGGTACATACACACACACACAGAGCCTCAAATCTAAAAAGCAGTGACAATGCCATAGGTGGTCTACATTTGGTTACAAAAATAACACCCCCCCAGACCCCCCCCCCCCACTCTCTCTCTCTCTCTCTCTCTTTGGGGACGCCCCTCAGGATC